TTAAATACTTCCCAAACTCTCCGCAAATCACCTAAAGGTCTAGACAGCCGAGATAGGCAGCTATAATAAGACTATTCAGACTGCCAGGGCTCTCCTTCAACTTCACAGAAAAAACATCTGTGGGCATGCACGGCTGTGTTATTCCCCTGTCAGCCTGAGCAGATTGACTTTTATTTCATTTTCTTTTGATTTTAGCAAGCCACTTTCAGAGAAGACTTACATCTGCCAACAGTGCATCTATTTTTTGACCTTGTATCAAGAGTTTGCCCCTAGTCTCAGAAAGGACCATTCGGACAACTTCCTCAGACATCTATGGTCCTTCCGCTCATTTTGTGCTTTGAAATTCTGAAGTCTTCTTTATCAAAGATGGAGTTCAGGAATCTGTTTTTCTCTCTCTTTGTTACTTTTGCTTCATTTCTGAGAAAGTAAGAATAGCATGGCCACTTTACCATTTTCAGGAGGAAGTCCTCAATTACCTTTTACAAATGTAATAACTTTTAATATTATTTGTTCACCACCTAAGGGTATACAAAGATCTAAACCCTGAACGTTTGGTGAGGAAACCGTGGCTCAAAGATACTTAATGACTTGTTCAAATCACACACTACCATTAAAGATTAATACTAATATCTAAATCTTCTATCTTCTACCTCCAAGCTTTCCTCTGGGGGCTACTTTGCTCATCTTTACATCCTCAGCATCCAGGAATGCCGGGTGCTCAGCACACAATAAGCACCTAAGAGATATTTGTCAAATGAAGTTTAATCAAAATCTTGTTATATTTGTTTCAAAAGTTATTGAAAACCAAACTAGAATGTATTTTACAGAAGACCAAATGGTCAACAAATATGATCAGGTGCTTTACTTTACTAATAATCACAGGAATATGATGAAATGAAAATTAGATATTATTTCACATCCATTAGATATGCTTACTAACAATGTATTGTAGCTATATGCATCTTTGTGTCATCTGGGGATACATATAGCAAAATGTAATAATTACTAACACATTAGCTATTATATTTACTGTAACACTGTATCACATTTATTATAACAAATATAATCTCTGGGGAGGGAGAAGAATGTGGAGGATTTTACTTCTCAAACTGGCGTTGGTTGCATAGAGAGTTGATGATTGCATTATTATCTACCTCTTTAGAGTTTCTAAAATATTTCATAATAACGTCTTTCTACGCCAACCTCTCAGTATGTTTTAACTAGAAGACATTTCTCTAAGTAACTAATATACAATGTGGCAAATATGATCATTGATACATTTGGACTATTGCAATCAGTTTACATGTGATATGATCATTACATGGAAATATTTTGTCATTAAGTAGCTGTGAGACACTAGATCACTTATATTTGCAGAATTCCAGTGTTCTTATTTTGTATATAATGAGTATGACATGACAATCTCTAAAGACACTTTTGCTTCAAACATGCTAGTTCTTAGAAATATTTAATGTGGGGGCTGACAATTTAAAGCATATAGAATCTTTGGAGAAATTATATGTAGCTAATCATGGAAATTGAGTTATAAAAACAACTTGAATTTAGTTCTTGATTGTTATATAAAATATATAAAATACCAATTTTGAGAGTGTACCTATACCTTTTGTTCCATTTTAACCACTTATGCTTTTTTCAAATAAGTAAATGAACACTAACGAGGATACCAAAGCAACTCGGTCAATTTTGTTCATTAATGTTAAAATGATAATAGCAGCAAAATGACCCAGTTAATTAATTATATTCAATGGTATTAAAATGGCAAAAATGATAGTAGTCATGATTTCTGAACATATTTATTTTCTAAGTGTAAAAGACAAGAATTCAGATGTCTCGATCAAGTATATCTACCTGTCATCTGGGTTTTAAATTGATTAACTTGCTATAAAAATTGTATTAGCCATATTTGCTTATAGAAGGTAAGAGTATGGCAACCTCAAATGATAACAATGTGAATAATCAAATTTGATATTTACTTTTTAAGAAGCATGGTGGAATTTTTCCTGTGAGCATGTAATGATTAATTAACCATATCAAAAGTGTTGAAGAGAAAGTAGCAGTCATGAAATAATTACTGTATTTACTTCCCACTGAATTTCTACTATATACATACTCAGTTCAAGTAGCAGCAACTGTCTTTTTTCTTCCCATGGAGTATATAAATGAGCTCATCAGTGGATTTCACTTGCAATTATGCCATTTTTTCAAATAATGTGGAAAAATGTCTATCAATATTCCTTCAAGGTTTAGTCATATTCCTAGGGTCATTCATTAAGCTACTGTGAGTTTCATCTCTGCTTTCTTAGCAGATTGATGGAAGAGGCTCTTGTGTGTGTCAGAACCAGGACATTTGCAGTCACCTCTGTGTGAACTATATACAGGGTGTCTATATAATTTATCATTCAAAGTAGGCCATTTTGTGAGTGAGAGAGTGCTGTTAAAAATTATTCTAGGACAACAGGTATAAAGCAGGATTGTCCTGGAAAAACCTTAATGAGTGTTCATGCTATGCATGAAAAATAGTTTATATTAATTTATTGACTTGCTGCAGTCATATATTATTTCCCTGGTGATAAAGATGGATTCCTTTCACAATTGTGTGGCATAGCATGCCTTGCTTTTACTTAAATTAACTCTTATTTATTAGCTCAAAACTCTTGCTTGTTACGTAAAAGAAGGGTAACACAGTCATTAAAGTATTTTCCACATGCAGCAATTTCTTATGTCATCAGAGATATGTGTATAATATATTAAAATTACTAAGCTTAGTAAGACAAAAAGAAACAAACAATGATACACCATGTGACTCAAAAACTTTCTTTAGTAAATAAGTTGCAGGTTGCAATTGAAAGATGTGAGAAGCAGAAGCCTTTAAGAAGCAGATGCCAAGATGAGATCAGACGTGGGAAGGGTGTTGGGAGGAAGGGGCTTGCATGGGCAAGGAGAGAGGCTTCGGGAAACGATGGATGTCTACGCAGACGGAAGTAGAGGAGGAAAGAGGAAGTTTGGTCAAAAGAGTCTCAGAGAGCCGTGCCCTTCTAAGAAAGTTTTGGCCAGGCCGGTGGGTGTCCTCCGAGGCGAGTTGCCCTTCAGAGGGGCCCCTAGTCTGACAGGAAGGGGTCTGCACTCACACTCCCGCCACGTTCAGGTGTGGCCTTCAGGTGTGGCCTGACACCTGCGTGGGAAAACCTGGGTCAGGTGCGGACTCGCTGCTGACCTCAGCGCTGGCAGCCGGGCGGGCAGGCAAGTGACTTCCCACAGCGACAGAGCCAAGGGGCAGATTTCCAATTTTCTTGACAGAGGAGAACACTCTGCCTCTCCCCAGAAAAGGCTCTATTTAATTATTTTTTATGATTAGAAATTTATTTCAGAGCATTATCTGGTATATGAGTCAAATTAACTCCTTTTCACGTATTATAAAATTTGAACAGGAAGAGCGTAGGATACTATTAACACACAGAAAAAAATGAATTTTCTATAGCCCCACTAGTGTAGAATATTAAGTGTATATATTATTCTGTTTTCCCATCAAATCTTTTAAGCCATTTTATAATAGGTGATGATGGAAGTAAATCGTTACGTGTTATTTTTTCATATAATATTAAATTATAAACATGTTTTTGCAGACTCTTTGCAACCAGTTCAATGGATGTGCACGTTCTGTTATGTGAATATATCATTATTTATTTAAACATACTGCTATTGTTTAAAAATTGTGCTATCATGGGTAATACTATGATAAGCATATTTATGCATGGCATTGTTCTGTATCATTTGTTTGAATGGTTTTCTACTTCACTAAAAAATAAAATCATTGAGATCAAGACTATAATTTTGTCTTTGTTTTCTCAGCACGTAGCACATTCTTAACACATGATATTTCCTCTATAAATGAATTGCAACATTCAGTTGGAGATTGAGCACACATTACTTTTTCATCAGAAAGTATGTGATTCCTTGAGATTATCATAATACCTTCTCAGAGGTAAAGGACTGAGGGACCTAGTTACATACAATCCAAACATGCTTCCTAATTATGTACCCTAAGCCTTGCCGTGTTCATCTGAATTAGAAAATTGCTAATAACAACAATAAAAAAATCAATAATTATAATAAATTAGTGAAATTATATAATCAGATGTCTAAAATTATTTCCAATAAGGATAGAGTTATACTTAAATTATTTAAAATAAGTTCTTGAGCACGAGGCTGGAAATTCTCTGAGAACTATTTATAAAAATCATACCTGATTTTCCCAAATGAATAGTCATTTAAAATATGTAAAAATTACAAAAATCTCTTAGCCTCTGAAAGACATCAGGACATCAAGTATGCAATCAGAACTGCATTTTTAAAATTGTGACAAGTATTTTTTAATCACCAAAATAACACCAATATAATATTCAAAGTAATTAAAGAATATTCTGAAGGCAATTTAGACAGCTTAGGGGGGAGGTATAGACAAAATTAACTATAATAAAATTTCCTTTGTGTTATTGCCAGAAATGAGGAAAGATGGCTTTGCAATATTATTGAGGTCAATTTTTATATTACTTGTGTGCTACATGGGAAAAGGAGAATATGAATCACTACAAGCATGTGGTTTTTGGATTGCCCAAATGTTGCTACCATAAAATATAGAAAAAACTTTTTTTTCTGGCAAATTCCATTTGACTACAATCATATTTCAAGGAAAGATTGACTGCTTATATGTGCCGTGGCCTGCCTATATCCACCAGATGTGAGAATGATCAAAATTCATTACTTTAATATTGTATATTATACTTATTGCACTGAATTCTTATTTGTTTGAGTATTATCACATCAGGACATTTCATATGAGAAAAATGACAGTCTTACTGAATGTAATATTTTTGTAATGATTTTTCCATCTTACTACTTCCTTACTCTTAAACTATTTTTTCTATATATGCAATTCGGTTGAATTTTTTATCATTCAAATTTTTCTTTGAATTATTTAGTGTTGATAAAGCAGATGATGAAGATGATGAGGATTTAACGGTGAACAAAACTTGGGTCCTGGCTCCAAAAATCCATGAAGGAGATATTACACAAATTCTCAATTCATTGCTTCAAGGCTATGACAATAAACTCCGTCCAGATATAGGAGGTAAGTTTGAGTCATCTTTCTGGGATTTTGGTGACTATGAAAGATATCTTCACTGATGCTAGTTTAATCATTTATCTCACATTCCCTGAGTGTCTGATGTATGTCAGAGACTCTACTGGATTTGAAGATTAGTTGGAATGGTCACTCATAGTTTGAGGAGTTCACGGTCTGAAGTAAGAAAAATAGATGCATAAACATTTTTAATGTAATCATTGTACAGCTGTTACGACGAAGGGTGACAGCAGAGTTAAGATAAAACTGCCTGAAAGGCTGAAGATATTTCATAAAGGAGCTAATTTTTGAAAGGCAAGTAGGAGTTCTAATTTTGTACAAATGCCATGCTGTTTTAATTAATGTAGAATTATAAGTCTTCATAGGATAGTTACTGTAGTTAATCAACTTTGTTACCTTCAAGATTGTTATTCTTGGTCTTTTGCATTTATGTATAAATTTTGTACCAGAATTAAGGTGTAAGTTTTCTCCCCTGAGTCTTTAAAACAATCATAAATCAGCAAAGATTTTCATTAATCTAATGTCAATATACGGAAATTGAAATTTTTACCATACTGAATTTTTACCATATCAAATTCATGAAC